ATGGGGGAGGGACTGAGCAATGAGCAGGATGAGGAGCTACGTCTGAAGGCTGCTGAATTGAATTCTACATTGGCTCGTCTGGCTACTTGGTGGAGACAGCGAGGGAAGGCTAGATGGATTGAGGAAGGGGATGCTAATTCTCACCTCTTCCATGCTTCAGCTTCTGCTCGAAGAAGAGGCAATAGGATTGTTGAAATTAATGATTCTGATGGGAATTGTATCACTGATCCGATTCTTATTCAGGAAGAGTTTCTGCATTTTTTTATGAAGAAATGGTGTGAAAGAGAAGTTGCTCTGGAGAATTGGCCTGAGTTTGGAAATCATGACAGAGTGTCGGATCTTCTGAGTTCTAGCATGGAGGAGGAGATTACGGCAGATGAAGTTCGACAAGCTGTATTCAATTTAGGGAAGAATCGATCGCCTGGCGTTGATGGTATCAACTCTTCCTTTTTAAAATTTTACTGGGAGATTATTAAAGATGATGTTACCCGTGCTATTCTTTATTTCTTTGAGACTAACTCTATGTGTGAGAGTTGGAAAGAGACCATGGTGGTTCTTATCCCAAAGATTGATAATGTTAATGTGCCTTTGAAGTTCAGGCCTATCAGTTTATGCCAGTCATTTTATAAAATAGTGGCTAAGGTGCTGATTAATCGCCTTAAACCTGTGCTGAGCAGCATTATTAGTGAGGAGCAGGGGGCGTTTGTTCCAGGTCGGTCAATATCTAATCATGGGATGTTGGCTCAGGAGATGATGTTCAAATTCAAATGCTCAACTCAGAAGTCTGGATTGATGGCCTTCAAAGTGGACATGGAACAAGCCTATGATTGTATGGCTTGGGAGACCTTAGAGCAAGTTATGAAGCTGATGGGTTTCAAGGAGAGGTTTACCCAGTGGGTGATGCAGTGTGTTTCACGGCCCAGTTTTACAATTCTTATTAATGGCAGTCGTACACGGTGGATCAAGGCTAAGAGTGGTCTACGGCAAGGGTGCCCGTTGTCACCGTATTTGTTTATCATATGCTCTGAACTGTTATCCAAAGCATTTCAGCAGAGGGGAGGGCAATTGGGAATCCAAGTTGTTAGAAATACTGATAGGATATCGCACAGAAGGACTCCAACAGCAGGGGTATGCATTATGTAGGATGGAAGGAGCTCTGTAAATCGAGAATTCAAGGTGGCCTGGGGTTCCATGATCTTTTTATCTGGAAGTCTGCTCTTCGTGCTCGGATTGTTTGGGATCTACTCCAGCATCCCGAGTCGGTTTTATACAGAGTGTTAATGGTTAAATATGAGATGATGCTTTGGGAAACTTCTCTGGGGAAGAAGTCTTCTGCTACCTGGAAGATTATTCAGGATGGGGCTAGTGCTCTCAGGCTTATCTTGAGATGGAATATCGGTAATGGTATGAGTATTGATGTCTTTCAGGATGTCTGGATCATGGATCGTGTATTGGATAAGTGGCCCACGTTTGTGAACGTGGAAGAGGTGGAAAACTTTTATGTTGGTGACTTACTGAACAATTCTTTACAGTGGAATGAGGAGCTGATCAAGAGGTGTTTTGGAGCTATTATGGCTGAATGTATTTTAGCTATTGATGTTGGTAATCATTACCATGGTGATTGCCCTGAGCTTATTCATGATAGAAGGGACATGACGGTTGCTGCTATGGCCTATAGAATCAACTTTGGGGTGGAGGAGAACAATATAGGCTGGCTGTACAATTTGAAATTACATCCACGGGAGTGGTTCTTCTGGTGGAGAGTGATGAAGGATGCGATTCCTACGGCATCTTGGCTTTTCCGCAGGAGGTTGGGGGATAATGCTCTATGTCCATGGGGGTGTAATGTGGAAGAAAACCTGGATCATTGTATTGTGCATTGTATTAAGCTGAAAGAGGTGATTGTGATCCTGGCTAAATGGGGAATCATGCTGCCTATGATGAATTCTTTTCAGGAATTGATTTTGTTTTTCTCCACTTGTGCTGAGAAAAATCTGGTGATGGGCCGTATCTACTGTTATATGGTGTATTAGGTGTGGCGAGCTAGAAATGATAAGAAACATCGGCGTATGTGTAGATCTCCTACTGTGATTGCTGCAGCGATTCTTTCTTTATTATCGAAGCCATTTAAGTGGCCAATACTGGAGCAATGGGGTACCAATCAGCCGATCGGGCTGCCGTCTCATAACTTGTGGTGCCCTCCCCCTCCAGGTTGACTTAAATTCAATTTTGATGCCTAGTGATGCCTTCTAACCTGGTTGGGTTAGGCATTGTGGTGCGGAATCATGTGGGATCGCTCATTGTTGCGGCTGGAAGAAGAATGGAACACTGGAATGCATTATATGCTGAAGTCATGGCTGCTGCTGCTATTCGGGAAGTGCTGCATGATTGGATGTTTGATCTGGAAGGAATTATTATTGAAGGGGACTGTCTAAATGCTATACGGTGGCTGCAAAGCTTGAATGATCGCCAGCACTCTGTCCATTCTAAGGTGGATGGCCCGGATCTTTCTTTCCTCATGGAATTTAAACAGGTTCTGTTTTGTTATATTTCTCGGGACAGTAATCATCCTGCTGATTACTGTGCCCATCTTGCATTGCTAGGTAGTTTTTCTTTTAATGATGTGAATAATGAGTTCCCCCAAACATTGTTGTCTATGTTGAGGGAGGAGAGTGATAGGGTATAGTTTTTACATGAGAGTTACTTGTAATTAGATTTACTTCATTTTAATGCAAATGCAGATATTCAGTTCTCTCTCTATCTCTATCTCTATCTCTCTCTCTCCCTCTCTCTCCCTTGCTCTCTCTTACACTTTCTTGTTCTTTCTCTAGCTTGCTCTCTCTCTCTCACTCTTTCTCTCTCTATCTCTCTCACTCTCTCACTCTCTCTCACTCACTTGCTCTTTCTTGCCTCTCTCTCTCTCTCTCCCTCTCTCCCTCTCTCTCTTAATCTCTCCATTACTCTCTCTTGCTTTCTCTAGCTTCTTCGGACTTGCTCTCTCTCTCTCTCCCTCTCTCTCTTTCTCATATATCTTACTCTCTCTCTTTCTTGCTCTCTCTCTCTCTCTCTCTCTCTCTCTCTCTCTCTCTCTCTCTCTCGATCAATCTCTCTCTGTCTCTCTCCGTCTCTCTCTCTTGCTCTCTCTTGCTCTCTCTCTTGTTCTCTCTTATTCTTTCTTTAGCTTGCTCGTTCTCCAGCTTGCTCTCACTTGCTCTCTCTCTCTCTCTCTCTCTCTCTCTTACTCCTCTCTCTCTCTCTCCCTCTCTCTCTCTCCCCTCTCCCACTCTATCTTGCACTCCCTTGCTCTTTCTTGCTTTCTCTCTCTCTCTATCTCTCTCCCCCTCTTTGTCTTGCTATTTCCCCCTCTCTCTCTTGCTCTCTCCCTTGCTCTCTCTTGTTCTTTCTTTAGCAGGCTCCTTCTCAAGCTTGCTCTCACTTGCCCTCTCTCTCTCTCTCTCTCTCTCTCTCTCTCTCTCTCTCTCTCTTTCTCTCGCATTCCCTCTCTATCTTGCACTCCCTTGCTCTTTCTTGCTTTCTCTCTCTCTCTCTATCTCTGTCTCTCTCTTTGTCTCTCTCTCTCCCCCTCTCTCTCTTGCTCTCTCCCTTGCTCTCTCTTGTTCTTTCTTTAGCAAGCTCCTTCTCAAGCTTGCTCTCACTTGCCCTCTTTCTCTCTCTCTCTCTCTCTCTTACTCACTCTCTCTCTCTCTCTCTCTTATGCTCTCATTTGTCCCTTTTCTTTCTCTTACTAGAGTGGTTTAGAGAGAGAAGCTCTGGGTATGACTAGAGGGGATGGCCCTAGGTCACCTCCTCCAAATGGGGGCCTTCGCGGTGGCAAAGGTGGCGGTAGAAGGGAGCGGAAGCAAGGGAATCGTTGGCAGGTGCTGGACAACGAGGAGGCCAACGGTGGTGCATCGGCGGCGATCATTAGGAAGACGGATTTCCTGCCCAGATCTCCCGGGATTGGCCGCTTTTCGGCCTCTTCCGCTAAAAGTGCTGCTCCGCTTGGGACTTGGGAGGAGAAAGTTAATTACCCTACCGGATCTATGCGGCCTGGGAAAGAAAATGCTCTTGGTCCGGCCAAGGTTACTGGTACTAATAGCACGGGAGATGCGGATGTGGGTGCTCCGGCTACGAAGTTTAATGGTCCAGAAGGAATGTTCGCTTCTGGTCTCAACTCATATTCGGCCAAGCCAGCTGCCGTTCGAGAACTCATTATGAATGCTATAGGAATGTCGCCGCCTGCTGGTGGTTCGCGGACGAGCAGGTCGACTCAAGCTATGGAGGAACAGATGTCGGGCACTGGATCTGAGCTCCGGTTTGATGCGGCTGCTGCCCATTTCCAGGACGACGGCCATGTCCTGGATCCTCAGATGACGGTGGTGACCTCTGGTCCAGCGAAGGAAGAACTAAGCAGTTTGGTGAACGACTTTGCCCGGGAGAGTAAATTGGACAATGAGATGGAGGAAGCTCGCGAGAAACCCGATCTCAGTGTTTCGATGGAGGATGATTGACCTGTCACTACTGATCAGAATGAAGCCCACACCAACGAACTGATGGAGCCTGAAGAGGAGCAGGACTCCCGCTGGGCGATGGATGCCGATCAAGGCAAGATGGTCGTCCAGCAAGATGTCCAACCAGCTCAGACCGTCTGGATGCCTGGATGGGGCTCAACCGATATGCTCGGCCCTGACCATTCGTCCGTAAATGTGGATTGTAGTATGAATGAGGAGAGTCCTGATAGCTCTAGGCGTGAACAGCCCCTGGTTTCAGCCTCCACTGACAATGAAGCTTCTGAACATTGCCCACAAGGTGTTTGTGGAAATGTCCCCAAGGCACAGAATTCTTCTTGGTCTATACCGCAGCCCTCCCTAGCTCCCAACTTGCCGCTGAATGGCCTTCCTAAGGGTCCTTTTGCTTGGAGCAAGGTCCAAAACGTGCCCTTAAAGCGTCTTAGCCGTGACCAATGGGTTGCCAAGGATGGGTAGTGTATTGAGCCTGAGATGGACTTCGTTAATGACAACTTAGCTAAGTTGGATACGGCTATTGTGGCAAAACTTATGGGGAGACGGATCTCGTTCCCTTCCTTACTTAAAGAGCTTAAGCGTAGATGGTACCACTTCGGGGACTTTGAGATCATGACCATTGCACCCAATACTTTTATTTGTTTATTTCAAAGTCATGCTATTAGAGATGCGGTTCTTTCGAGTGGGCTGTGGATTGTGGCCGGGAACATCATCGGGATGGACAAGTGGACCTCCACTTCTTCACCATCTTCCTTACAGGGGCTCCACTCTCCAATTTGGATCCGGCTACCTCAGCTATCGCTTATCTATTGCGACATTAACAACATCTCCCGCATTGCCAACGGAATTGGTGAGCCCCTTTGGATGGACTCGCACACAAGAACTTGGGGTAAGTCATCCTTTGCACGCATTTGTGTAAGGATTGATTTTTCACAAAAACTTGTTCCGGGAGTGTGGATCAATGGGATCCAGGGGAGATTTTTTCAAAGAATTGAGTACGAGGGCCTTACAATTTTTTGTTTCGATTGCGGTTATATTGGCCACGCCAATGGTAAGTGCCCGTCCAAGAGCCAACGGGGAAGACCGTCCCCATCCAGTTCCCGAGTCCCACAGCACACCCAAGCTTCACCTGAGGGATTACCCGTGAAGGATCCACCTCCGGGGTCGGGACAACCTATTGGCAATGGGCCTATGGACAAAGAAGAGCAAGAGGAGGATTCTCTTGGTGAATGGAATGTGGTTACCCGCAAGAAGAAAGGCAAACAGAAGGGGCCAAGTGTGCCTTCGGCAAATGGGCAGAGCAAGAAAACTGATCAGAACGTGCCTCCCCCTAGGGTACTCATGGAAGTCCAGCAGCAAATGGAGGAGATCTCCAACAGAATTGTAAACCCGAGCAACCGTCTTCCCAAGGATCAGAGGTTTACTTTCAACGCCGCCAAACCAGCCCAAGATACTTCACCATCAACGGTCAACCTTTCCAAACGCCAACACAAGGCACCCAAGACTTTTTTGGAGAAGCAGCTTCTCTAGTTGGGACCCATTGCCACTCTGCCCAGGAAGCGGAGGAAGAATCTTCAAGATGACATTGGCGTGGGACTTTGTCCCCTTTGAGGAACAATGAGGCCTTCCCTTATTACATGTCTTAGGGTGCTAGGAGTGTTCATACAACTGCCGGAGCAATGGGATATCTCTCAGTCCTAGACTGTTTATACCCATCTTTAGGTATCTCCCCCCTCTGGGGTTGTTCCTTGAGGATTCATGGGATTCTTTAGGCATGTATTTGGGGGTGGCCTCCTTGCGAATCAAAGGGGCTCTTCCTTGTTCTTTTTGCTTTTGTTTGTAGTGTCATACTTGTATGGGATATTTCACTGGTCCAGCTCTTCCCACTTTTGTTTTTTGTGTCGAGGGAAGATAGTTACAATTCCATACTTTGTATGTTTTTACCTTTACTTTGAGTAATGAAATATGCAACTTTCAGCTCTCTCTCTCTCTCTCTCTCTCTCTCTCTCTCTCTCTCTCTCTCTCTCCCTCCCTCCCTTTCTCTCTCTCTCTCTCTCTCTCTCTCTCCTTCTCCCCGTCTCTCCCTCTCTCTCTCTCTCCCCCTCTGTCTCTCTCTCTCTCCCTCTCTCTCTCCTGCACTCCCTTGCTCTTTCTTGCTCTCTATCTCTCTCACTCTCCCTCTCCCTCTCTCTCTCTTTCTCTCTCCCTTGCTCTCTCTTGCTCTCTCTTGTCCTTTCTCTAGCTTGCTCTCTCTTTCTCTCTATCTCTCTCTCCTTCTCTCTCTCCTGCACTCCCTTTCCCTTTCTTGCTCTCTCTCTCTCTCTCTCATTCTCTCTCACACACACTCTCTCCCTCTCTCCCTCTCTCTCAATTTCTCTCTCTCTCCCTCTCTCTCTCTCTCTTGCTCTCTCCCTTGCTCTCTCTTGCTCTATCTTTTTCTTTCTCTAGCTTGCTCTCACTCTCTCTCTCCCTCTCTCTCTCTCTCTCTTTCACTCCCTTGCTCTTTCTTGCTCTCTCACTCTCTCTCTCACTATCTCTCTCTCTCTCTCACTCTCTCTCTATCTTGCTCTATCTCTCTCTCTCTATCTCTCTCTCTATCTCTCTGCCCCTCTCTCTCTTGCTCTCTCCCTTGCTCTCTCTTGCTCTCTCTTGTTCTTTCTTATTCTTTCTCTAGCTTGCTCTCACTTGTTCTCTCTCTCTCTCTATCTCTCTCTCTATCTCTCTGCCCCTCTCTCTCTTGCTCTCTCCCTTGCTCTCTCTTGCTCTCTCTTGTTCTTTCTTATTCTTTCTCTAGCTTGCTCTCACTTGTTCTCTCTCTCTCATGCTTTCTCTCTCTATATCTCTCTCTATCTCTATCTCTATTTCTCTCTCTCTCCCCCCTCTCTCTCTCTCTTGCTCTCTCTCTTGCTCTCCCTTGTTCTTTCTCTAGCTT